TTTTTTTTTTTAAAAAAAAAGGTTTCTATATAATTTTTTTTTTTTCTGCTGACAAATGTGCATCATTACATTTATATAGTACTGGTTCAGGAAGCTCTTGTCGGTGATGCAATTATGCTGGTAACTGAAATGAAAGTGTAGGTGAGGCAGTATGTAAATATCAATAACTAGAATTACCATAGAATTTAGATCATGAGTAGATGGGCTTCTAAACTTTCATTTAAGTAATTAAATTCATTATAAATTACATCCTAGATTTCAATCCTTTCTCTAACGGCAGTACTGAGCACTTGACGCTGCCATCCTAAACCCAGCAGGTGCAGGTCTGTGGTGACTTATGAAAGAAACGGTAAAAAGCAGTGGGGCCCTCAAGGGCATTCTCAACCCCACAACGGTGCTGTGGCTGCTGCCTGTGAGCATCTAGGAACACTAAAAAATAATTGAGAAGGTCATTCGGCACTTTGCAGCCCAGTATTGCAGAGAACAGTCACCAAACAATTGCCTTGAACTCAGAACACAGGTGGAAGAAACATAGCTGTTTAAGAGCAGGGAAATGGAAGGGAGATAAGGGATCCAAGTGCACTCTGCAAGAGGTAGACGACACTTCAGAACTGGCAAAACAGGTAAATTTGCATGGCCACTTATTTCTAAGATACAAGGTAATTGCCACAGGAATGACAAAAAAAAACAAGAGTAACACCAAAGGATTGTGCAGGGAAACATTTTGTCTCCACTTCTTCTCCAGACCTGTCAGATCAGGAAAGTTTGGGTGCTGCAAATACTAAAGACACACTTAACAGAACTCATCTCTCCCTCAACAGACCATATTATTTGATAGGATGCTCCTTCACTATATGCATATTTTTAAAAGACAGATTGTGCTGATGCACACAAAGTATGGCAAGCTGGCTGTTGCTGAGGTAGTAAACTTCAGGAAGAATGCAAAGCTGGACAATTAAAGTGAAACTGGTTTAGTAAAAAGGCTGGAGGGGAGAAGAAAGAAAACACAGTGCTCCAGATTGCCCTACTGTGCAGCTGACAACTGTTCACTCAAGTCTACAAGTCTTAATATTTGTAGGGGTATACCTGGTGTTACAGAGCAGGCTGAACAAAGCTGAAAAAGCCCCCAAAAACGCCAGAGTGCATGAATTAAGATCAATGAAGTGAGCAAATGCTATTTAAATCTTCATAAAAAACACACTGAACAGAGTCCATCATCTCATTTTCCTTTGGTTAACTGAAGAAGCAATCCCCCTGAAGAAAGCAGGGTATTTCTCCTGGTGTAGACAAGTCTCTAAGGCTTTTTAGGCATTCAACAAAAAGTTACGCTCCCTTTACATTTTCCACTAACCAACACTACAAAGATGAGAATAAACTTTAGGAACAATCCTGCTTTGATCATCCAAGTTTCTTTTCTCATCAGGCAGCCTTGCAAGCAAATGTTATGTTAACCTTAGAGCATCTGACTACATTAACATCATCAAAGATAGGGCAGGAGGGTGCCTGTTCAGCCAACCAGAAATAAAGACTCTTTAGGCACAAAGAAATAACAATGCCTCCAACCCAAAAAAAGACAACTGTCTCCTGAATTGGCCTAGAGCAGTAATAGTACCAGGAGGAGGAGATGGTCACTCCTTTATGAAATACAATCACCAGTGTCAACCACCTGAGATTGAAGCAATTTCAAACAAGCTGAATTACACCAAGTTTCTCACAATAAGAGCAATAATCACCAATCAATCTAGAGACTTTTCCAACAAACTGAAACAGGAGGACTTGGAAAATAAAGTAGAATTTCCCAAGCATTAGGTCTCTTAAGTATAGACAAGTATACTCTAAACACGCTGACCATGTTTACTTCATTATCCATTCCAACCTTAAACTAATGCTTAAGCTAAAATGTCCAGCTTAAATAATGAACATCAGCTAAGATGCAAAAAAGTGTTTTTATTGCAAGCACAGTGAGCAGGGAGTAGGTTGCATATCAAATGCCTGTGATGGAGGGCAGAATTAAACCATCCACTCTTCTCTTTTTAGTTCTCATTGCTGTCAGGTGTACATCATTTCTGCCATATGAGACATTTTCTTTGGAATATACAAATAATATTCCATGTATCCCGAAAGATCTTCAATAGTCACATCATCCACAAAGGCCCTGGCTTGCTCAGAGCAAGAGCGTGGAGAACTTGAGGGAGTTCTTGATGGCAAAGTCTGGGAGTGATCCTCAGAAACTGTTGTTCTATCAGGTGCCAGTGGGAGGGTGTTCTGCAAGCCAGAGAATTTGTACACTTCCATATCTTGCCATCGTTTACACTGACAGGCTCCACCTGAACATGCACATGGCTTATTCCTGTTCAGCCTGGCCATAGATTCAAAGTCAGAAAGCTCCGTAGTCTTTAGGCTGGCTTTGGACACTAGAGGAACAGCAGCTGGAGAGGTGTCCTGTCTGTTCTCTGACGCTGACTGCGTAACAGAAGCTCCCGAAGACTCAACATCAGCTCCCCTCTGGCCAACATCAGGAGCAATACTGCACTGTTCATCTGCACAAGCTTCCTTTGGGATGTGCATGCCAAACCCACTGCTGTCATCCTGGGCATCAATTTGGCCCTTGTGCACTAGCTGGTTACACGTGGAATGAGATTTTGTGCTGCAATGGATAAACTTTGGAGGATGAAGAATCGGAGACTTGGAACGCCTGCGACGCTGCGTTCTCACAACTCCTCTTGAAGGCTTCTTCATAGACCTACCAGGGGAAGATATAAAAAGTAATGAAGATTCACTAAGACTTGTTGCTGGAATGCAAGTAACACTGAATGAAATCTCTGCTGCATATATATGGCATGCAAGAGCTTTAAGGCTCAGAGTACTTGCTCAGGGTATTCTGCTATCTTGGAATTTTACTTTATTCTAGACAAGATAAGCTGTACAAAAGGAACACCTGAAAAATGAAACTAAAAGTGCATGCTTTTAAGGTTAGAAAATGAGTAAAGCATGTGAGGCCTGACAATGTAACCTCTAAGGAAAGGACAAAGCACAAGAAGACAGCACAAAACTAATGAATCAAGAGCAAGGAGTGGTTCTTCTTCAGTAGATGAGCATTAAGTTCTATTTAGACACTCCAGAAACTGATTCTTTAGTTTAATCTAGTTCCCAAGGCAGTGACAGCTTCTGCAGTGTCGAACAATGATTCAAAGAGATGCATCCATGATTGTCCAATTCAAAACCTGCAGTTCATGTTTATATTAAAAAACATCTATAACGTTTAGCAACCCATAGCTGAACAGCATTTCCTTTCACTTCACTTAATTGTAAAGAAGAACAGTAGTCACATATGAACAGGAAAGACTGGTGTAGAGTATTTTAAGTACTCCTTAATAAAGAAAACTTGGATCCTTTATTTAGGGTTGCAGCTACTAGAAACCTTGTTTACTTAAAATTCCCTTTCAATGCAGTGTCATTTGAGGTAGTCTGACAATCCCAAGTTTCTCTTACCCATGCCAGGTTTCCTTAGAAGTACATGCATTTTTAGGTTTGGTTTCATCTACCACTGTTCTAACCAGTGCTCTTGGACTTGTCCCTTCACCCACAGAGAGAGAAGCAGTAGATCTGTGAAAGACAGAATGAAAAGTTAACAGCCTAGACTGGTTAGCGTTATGAATATGAAAAACTTAGGAACCTTCTTTCCTAGAAAAGATTGCTCCAAATCATTTACAATGTGTATTAAAAGACTGCCCACAAAGAAGACCCAAATCAGGAAGATAGTGTTTACACATTCCTATCTCAAAAGTTTGTAAACCAGACTCTTTCACCAAACACGATGCCATCAGCAACTGGACTGCAAATCTGAACTCCACACGTCAATGACAAAGCACACACAGTGCCTAAATTTCAGTTTCCCGGGAGAGGGGAGGGGAAAAACACCATCACTGAAGAAACATGTCTCTTTTTCCAGAGACAAATAAGCCATTCTTTCCTAAAAATAAATGTTCTTTGGACATAAATAGACTTAACTGAAGAACACTTAAGCCTCTGACTAGGACAACATAAGCTAAAACTCTTCATACTATGGCAAATTCAATCACTGAGCAAGAGAGTTGTGCCAGATCTTCAACTTCTATTCAAGCTAGGGACCTTAGAAGATTTACTAACTTTTCTGGTGCTATAAATTCATCCCAAACTCCCATTTTCAAGGAGGTGTAATAATCTCAAGAACAATTTTTCCAAGGTGTGACTTCACATATTACACTAGAATTCACAAGGAAATTATTTTCCAAATCCTGTATTAGACTAGTTTGTAAGCAGAACGGATTCCCTGAAAAGTGGAAGCAAGTTGCCACACTCAGATATAATATAGGGTTAACTGATATTTAATAAAGTCTAAACTATTAGTCAAACATCTACTATTTTCCATTTAAAGGACAATGAACACAGAGCAGAAAATTGAAGGCCAACAGAAAAACTCAAAAGTAATTAAATATGCCTGATTGGGGGGTGGGACTAGAGATACTGAAGAAATAAAGAGGCATTTGCATGGTGATTAATTTATAATGAATTTAATTACTTAAATGAAAGTTTAGAAGCCCATCTACTCATGATCTAAATTCTATGGTAATTCTAGTTATTGATATTTACATACTGCCTCACCTACACTTTCATTTCAGTTACCAGCATAATTGCATCACCGACAAGAGCTTCCTGAACCAGTACTATATAAATGTAATGATGCACATTTGTCAGCAGAAAAAAAAAAAATTATATAGAAACCTTTTTTTTTAAAAAAAAAAATCAGATAAAAATGATCATCACCAACAGAGGACACATGCTGCTTCTGTTCTGCTACCTAGGACAGGGAGGGTAAGTGCCCCACAAGCAAGACAGACAGCACAAAAAGCATTCTTTCTCATTTAGTGATTTTGGTTAGAAATAGGAAACTTGTAAGTGACAGAAATTAAAATAGTTTGTGTGGGAATCATGCACCGAATCTAATGCTCTCCTTTATTGACATGGAAAGAACGTTTCTCTCCTGGGAAAAGATAGGAGTTTATTCTCATGACAGGCCTTCAGAGCCATGACAATATGCTGACTTCAGTAGCAGAGGTCTAGTGCTATGGACATAACCTCTGGCAGCCAGATTCATGCCAAAATTAATTTCAAGCATACTGTCAGCTGCTGGCCATTGCTAGGTTTGTTTCGAGCCTGTTGGGAGCTAACAGCGATCAAACAAATTACAATTCCTTGAGAAGTGCAGTTTACAGCTGTTGACTTTATTCAGTTTAACTAGAATGAAGGCTTTCAGTGCTTAACTTTTTGCAATTACCTCATTTCTTCAAATTCAACAGCAAGGGTGTTCCCTTCGAGTCCATCTGTAAAATGTTAACTCCGTACCTCCCGGGGGTGTTACTTACCCAGCTGTGTCAACTCTTAGCTTTTTGAATGCTGTCTGCAGGCTTTCCTCTTCTCCTTCCTTAGCTTCCGTTTTCATTATTGGGATAGCCAGAAGGTGACGGAGTTACCATGTACTGCTACAAGCAGAAAAAACACATCAATGTAAGAACCTTGTTAAAAACATTAGTTGCCCAGCAGCACTGTAATACATGAAAATAAACTCAAAATAGCACACAAAGCTGAGGTCATTCTAGCAGAACATTTTTGAAAGTTGATTCATAACAAGCTTTATGATACCAAACAGCCTCTTGTACAACTACATAGGTGAATCGGCAATTTAAACTAAAATCTGGTGTCAATAGCATCTTGCACATCCATTACTGTCTAGACACTCTATTTGTCTTACAGTGTTACCAGAGTAATTGCAGAAGAGGTGAAAGGCAAAAAGGACTACCACCATAGAAAGAGTTGTCTTTCTACAACTGCTATTCCCAATCTTAGGACTTTATGTTACATACATACTTAAAAAATCCCAAATCAGCAGATTTTTCTTAAAAGACACTTTTAAGCTAAACATACTTTTTTGAATTTGTGTCTAGATCTCAGCAAGACTTACACATTCCTATCAGAACATCGTCTTTTGATTGTAAAAAGCCACTGAAATTTTCTGGTATCAGGTCTTGAACAAGTACAAATGCAAATAAGAATACAAATAGCAAACAGTATAAGCCTTGTTTTAAATAAAAAAGGAATTGATAAAACCTGGCTGATGTTTTGGTTTTTTTTTTTTTAATCTACCCCAGCCATCATTTAATCTAGCTACAAAGGAATCTCAAATCTTTAGAATTTGATGCTTTTTGGTGCCTAACAGTTCTGTAATCATGGGCACATCCTACACCAGCCATGCTTCCACTACAATACTCAATAAAGGTTCGCCTCCTTAGCACAGGCTTTGCTTTTGCTGAGCAGAAACCACATTTCCACACCAGACTACCCCAAGCTCAGTATTTGTTGAAGTTTACCTGGCTGACTAGCCATTTAATGCTTTTGATTTGACCGCTTCTGGAAAAACAGGGCCATTTGGTGTCGGTGCCATTACTGCCTGAGCCTTCGACCACACTGTATGGGTTGTAACGAGATCACCTTCTCAGTCTTTTTTTTTAAATTACAAGGTTGTCATACTTGACAACATTCTACAACAAGATTGGTTTAGTAGACAAGGGGAGAGCAGTGGGTATTTTCTACCTGGACTTCAGTAAAGCTTTTGATACGGTCTCCCACAGGACCCTCACAGAGAAGGTGATGAAGCACAGGCTGGATCAGTCAGTAAAGTGGACTGAAGAGTGGCTGAATGGCTGGGCCCAGAGGGTGGTGATCAGTGGCACAAAGTCTAGTTAGAGCTCAGTAACTAGCAGTGTACCTCGGAGGTCAATACTGTGTCCAGTCCTGTTTAACAGCTTCATTCATGATCTGGATGATGCAGCAGAGAGCACCTTCAAGAAGTCTGCTGACACCAAACCAGGATGAGTGGCTGATACACCAGAGGGACCTTGACAGGCTGGAGAGAGGGGCCAACAGGAACCTCATGAACTTCAACAAGGGGAAGTGCAAAGCCCTGCCCCTGGGGAGGAACAAGCCCATGTGCCAGCACAGCTTTGCAGGAAAGGCCCTAGGGGTCCTGGGGGACACCATGATGGACATGAGCCAGCAATGTGCCCCTGTGGCAAATGCACTGTTGGTATCCGTGGCTGCAGGTCGAGGGACCTGATCCTTTCCTCTCTTCAGCACTGATGAGGCCGCAGCTGGAGTGCTGTGTCCAGCGCTGGGCTCCTCGCTGCAAGAGGGACACTGACATGCTGGAGAGAATCCGGTGACGGAGCACCAGCACAGGCTGCCCAGGGAGGCTGTGGAGTCTCCCCCCTTGGAGATATTCAAAAGCTGCCTTGACATGGTCCTGGGCAACTGGCTTGGGGTGGCACTCCTTGAGCAGGGGTGGGGAGGGGACCTTCAGGGATCCCTGCCAACCTCAACCGTTCTGTGATTCTGTATGGTCCTGAAGCTCTAGGAATCCATTACAAAGGTAACTATCCAAACCCAGCAAATGATAACAGGTCCTGTAACCAAAACATGCTTATACAGAGCACTAACTACCTAATAATACAGCAATAATGCCTACATTAGTACTACTTTTACCAACTAAGCACCAGCTTTTCTGTAGCATAGAAAAAGTCTCGGTGAAGAGAGGAGTACTCTGAACCTCTGCAGCTCAGTTATGCAGATACAGAGCAGTAATTTCTCTTCCCTCACAACCTCATTCCAGTTGGAGGCGGCAGCTCTCCCTGCTTTTCTTCCAGCTGCTCTCTCTGCTATGATTTCATCTGGATGCCCTGTATTGCAGACAGCTACTATGACACACACAGAAGGATAATGCATCATAACAACTTCAAGGCACACACTGTCCAGTGAGTCAGACTGCAAGTAAACATGAGAGGAGGAAGCCAGTGCAGAGACTGACAACGTGATGCTCATCTGAGCAAGTTGTTATTTTATATACTCTCTTAGTTAAATACTACTGCTCTGGTGAAACATATGGTCCCCACCTCCATCAGATTTTTCTTGACCCAAAAAGACGATTCTTTAAAATTCCGCTAACAATCCTTTTAAAAAAAAAAACAAAACCAAACAACAAACACCTGTATTTATATAACCTTAACAAGAAAATGGAGAGTCGTTTTTAAATCACTGTACCATATTCAAAAAATACTACTGGTTTTAGGCTAAATATTTTATCACACTAGCCATCACAACTGACACAGTAAACCCTCAAATGATGCAGAATTTATTCTGATAAAAACCCGTTCTGTGATAACTACATAGAAGCTTAAGCATTTTAGACAAAGCAGCCAACTAGCACCGACATTAAGCAAAAAATGAATTGCTGTGAAAAACAACCAAATTTTAACATTGTGTCAAACACCACCTTGAAACATGTTCTTTATCTCCCAGGAAAACACATATCCGCCCTTTCCCATTTAATTTTCAGCTATTTCCGAGCAACATGGGACTACAAACGTAGCTTGGAGTACTGCAAGCCATGCACCGCTACTCATAAAGTTACGATGGGACAGTGCACAGGCACATCCATTTCGGTGCAGAGGGATTAAGAGATCCAAGGCGCTCAGGGCCAAGGCGCTCGGCAGCGCTGCGGGCACACCGAGCAGGGACGCGGGGGTACCGCGGGGCAGCGCACGGCCAGAGGGACAAGCGGCACCGGCGGTTCCCTGCCCGCCCACAGCCGGCTGCCGCCCGGGACCGCCCGCCGAACGCTTCAGGGGCTTTCACACCCCCCGTGCTTGCCCGCCCTCAGCCCCGGGGAGCCCCCAGGCCCAGCGGCACCGACTTTCTAGCCCGCAGCCC